CCTCTGCTACAGTTATCAGAACTAAAGGGCAGGATCCAGCAGGAAGGTAGGGTTGAAAGGATACTGCAGTAAACAAGACCAAGCCACACTCAACACCTCTGTTGTCAAATACGGTCCATCTTTCCTATCTTTATTTTTTTTTTTAAGACAGGCTTTCTTGGCTGACCAGACTAGCCTTGAACTTAGAGATTCACTAGCCTTTGCCTCCAGGGAAATGTGTGATGTGTGTGCGTGTGCTTGTGTGTCTTTGTGTAGGTCAGAGGACAGTTTGTGGCAGTCAGTTCTCCCCTTTCACCCTGTGATCAAACTCAGGTCCTCCGGCTGGGCAGGAAATGCCTTTACCTGATGAGCCGTCTCACTGGCCCTTATATTATCATTTGAGATAATTCATGCATTTCAGATTGGTTTGAATTTCCTTTGTAGCTAGAGACATTAAATTTCTGATTCTTGCTGGGTGGTGGTGGCACACACCTTTAATCCCAGCACTTGGGAGGCAGAGGCAGGCGGATTTCTGAGTTCAAGGCCAGCCTGGTCTACAGAGTGAGCTCCAGGACAGCCAGGGCTACACAGAGAAACCCTGTCTCGAAAAAAAAAAAAAAAAAACAACTTTCTGATTCTTCAGGTGCATAGTTTTGTGTGTGTGTGTTCCTGAGATCAAAGCTGAATATCTTCCTTGATTTCTTTCCACCTTATTTTTTTGAAATAGGGTCTCATGGAACCTAGAGTAAGATAAAATAAAAATACCCGAGGCAGACGCAGGCTAGAGTTCTGTTAGCCTGGATGACTTAGTGCAGTGGTTCTCAACCTGTGGGCCTTGGCCCCCTCAGGGTCCCAGATCAGATATCCTGCACATCAGATATTTACATTAGGATTTATAACGGTAGCAACACTACAGTTACGAAGTAGCAACAAAATAATTTTATGGTTGGGAGGGTCACCACGATATGGGGGACAGCATTAGGAAGGTTGAGAATCACTGATTTAGAAAGTTCCAGGTCAGCCAGGAGCTACAGAGTGAGACTTGGTCTTTAAAAAAAAAAAAAAAAAAGCTGGAAATTAAAACAAAGTTTAAAAAGAATATTTAGAGTTTTTATTTCTTGCTTCTCCACCAGGAGCTTTATGTTGGAAATTCCTTAGCAAGTAGGGGTCGTTTGCTTCATTCCTTCACATACCATGTCTTTCCTTTCATTGCTGACTGCAGAGGTCAGACAGAAATGTCAACATCAGGACGGAATATTGTACTTTAATTTTTGATCAACATAAGCCTTGAAGCAGACACAACGTTTAAAGCAGATTATTAAAATTCAATAGCGCACTGATGTGGGGTCAGACTAAGCCCTTTTCTACAGAGAAGATGAAAGGCTGGGAATGAGAAGCACATGGACGTTCGAAAACAATCTTTTACTGAGCTTTGAAACCTTTCTGAAGGAGAATTCGATCGGGAGTATAAGATAATTGAAAAAAAAAACAAAAACAAAAAAGACCACTCGGAATATAAGTCACTCACAGAGCAAAGTCTATCCTGTAAGATCTTAAATTTTGGAGACAGCAAAATAGATTGTAGTCTGTCAAAAACAATTAAGAATTCTTGTTTTTTAGGGCCAACCCCGTCTCCTCCCCCGCACCCCCTCCCCCGGAAGTCTATGGATTTGTAATCTGGTTTTGAATTTGACCTCTGGCCCACATGTCATGATAATTTGGGTCACTTTGAATATTCCATCCCTTGGACAATGGCCTCTGCAAATGGTAAATGAATGCGGCAGCCTCGAGCCATTGGTCTATTTGCATCACAATATGAGGGACTAAATCCACAATTAATAAACCATTTCCAGTTAGCAATCAAACTGAGGAAAAGAAAGACTTTCATCTGGGAACTGGAAAAAGCCGGGTTTCATTTTGTGCCCATTTGGACATAAAAGAAATATTTCACGTCTTCTTTCTTTTCTGTTTCACAGACTGGGTCTCTCACTTCCTAGCTCTGGCAGGCCTAGAACTTGCTGTGTAGACTAGGCTAGCTCAAGACCTGGGATCCCTCTGTCTCTGCTTCCTGAGGGCTGGGATTACAGGAAAGTGCAAGCACCTCGCCTCAAATCTGACAAGTTTAGTAGAAGCTAAGCCTGGGCTACTTGAGACTATTCGAGCAAACGCACGCACGCAAACACCACCACCGCAGACAACATTGACAACAACAAATCCAACAAATACACAAATAAGAAAATCATTTACAATCCAGGCATGGTGCTGCATTCCTTTAATCCGAGCATTTAGGAGGCTGAGTTTGAGGCCATCCTGGTCTACAGAGTGAGTTCCAGGACAGCCAGGGCTACACAGAGAAACCCTGTCTTGAGGAACAAACAAACAAACAAGAAAATCATTTACAAACTGGAGAGATGGCTCAGTGGTTAAGAGCACTGGGTGCTTTTCCAGAGGACAAATTCCCAGCGCCCACACGGTGGCTCACAACTGTCTGTAATTTTAGCTCCAGGGGCTCGGGCACCCTCACAGACAAAACACCACAGGAAAGAAAAATCTAAAAGATAAAAGGAGAAAATCGGTCACAAATTAGATTTTTTTAAAGAAAAAAAAAAGGGGGGGAAGCTGGATTGGAGTTAAGGACAGTTGGGAGATTCTCAGCACTGCAAAACCTGGGTGTGTTGATCCAAGCCTTTAATCCCAGTACTTGAGGCAGGTAGATTTCTGAGTTCGAGGCCAGCCTGGTCTACAGAGTGAGTTCCAGGACAGCCAGAGCTACACAGAGAAACCCTGTCTCGAAAAACAAAACAAACAAAAAAACTGGGTTTGAGCCACTGTGCCTGGCTCTTTTTTTGAGACAGGGTCTCATGTATCAACTGGCCTCAGACTAGACCAGCTCTGTAGCTGAAACATGACTTTCAACTCCAGTCCTTTTGCCTTGAACCCCCAAGTATTTGCATTACTGGCCCAAGCCACCAACCAGGTTTCTCTCTTCTCCAGTTCAATGGGAAGGAGTTATTGTTTCATTTGCTTTTTATTTATTCTTCCTCAATTTTACTCCGCTAAGAGTTCTTTTCAAATCTGATTCAATGTGTGGGGCTTGCACTGAAAAGATTTGGTGCACAGCGGCCTACACCTGTCAGATCAACACTCCAGAAGTGGAAAAACCATGATTTGGATGCCTGCCTAGACTACATAGGGAGACTGTCCCAGAAAAAAAAAAAGCCATTGAAATCTTTGGTGGTCAAGTACCTTGGGGCCTTCATTCTGCCTTGCATTCAATTTTGTGCCAACTAGTAGCATATTGGAGGGTTCTTTGGAAAGATGGGCTCTACAGCTTGCCTGGAAAGTGAGGTAAAGGAAGATGTCAGAGAAACCTGAAGTTCTGCTTCCAATCCCTTAGCAACCACCTGCTGCTACCTCTGTTGTAATGCTAACAATAGGTTCACACATTTAGATCAGGTAATGCCAGCCTTGAAGGCCACCAAGAGCTTTAAACTTTAGCTGGTAGTTCACTGATTACAAATTAAAGGCTACATGGCCCACGTTTCAGGAAGACATTACTAGCTGGCTAAGAAGGCATTTCAGGTGAGAAGGAACAGGACCTGAGACTCCCTGTCCCCATTATAAAGACGTCAGGCACTGAACTCGATTTGGCTTTGTCTCAACTCCCACAAGGACTGAATTTCTCCTGGTTAAAGGGTTTGAAATTTGAAAGCACTTTACCTCATGAAGCTTAAAATGACAGTTAAGCATAAAGATCTGTAGGCAGGGACTTAGATTTGTTTCTTCGATTGAGAAAGGTCTCACTTTGTAACCATGGCTGCTTGATATCTTTGTTACCTAGTACACTAAAGCTTCAAGCTCTCAGCAATCCTCCTGCCTCTGTCTACTGAATTCTGAGTCTGATTACAGACGAGAGCATTCCCCCCCAACTTTCCTAGTGGTGGTCGAGGACCTGGATCTCCTGGTGCTCAAGCTTTTCAAGTAGGATTACAGGCATGTGCAGCCAGGCCCGATCTTCGGGTTTTGTGTTGTTTTTAATTTCTTGGACTAGTGTCCCTAAGTAGCCCAAGCTGATCTTGAACTCCGGCCTTTAACTCTTGATTCTCCAGTTTCAACAGTATTCTGAGTGTTGGGATTACCGGCGAGAGTCCACACGCTAGGCCTGAAAAGTATTTTACGGGGCTTCAGCCTTACTTAAGAGGCTAGTGACAATACTTCTCAAGAGGGCCGTCAATGCCTGCCCGTTTTTTCTCCAACAACCCGTATTCTCGTGCACGCACGGATAAGGCTGGGGGTAACTTCTGCTATTTGTTTATAAAAGAAAGAAGCACAAGGGAGTAGGTTCCGCCCCTTTAATGAGCCTAAGGCCGAAGTGGGGGGCCGGACGGATTAGGTGAGGTTCCCCCCGAGGGGCGCCCCCAGGCAGGCCAGGAGTCCACAACGAGCCCCGGGGCCGGCTGGTCTTGAACTCATTGATAAGCCTTTTTTTTTTTTTTTTTTTTTTTTTTTTTTTTTTTTTTTTTTTTT